CAGAAGCAAATATTTAAAATTTTATTATTTTTTACATTTTTATTTATTTATTTTGGAACTGGGGATGGAACCCAGGGGCACTTTACCATGGAACTACATCCCTAGTCCTTTTAATTTATTTTGAGACAGGGTCTCTCTGAGTTGCTTATCCCCTCGATTTTGCAGAGGCTGGTTTTGAACTCGTGATCCTCCTGCCTCAGCCTCCCCGAGACGCTGAGATGACAGGCGTGGGCCACCGCGCTCAATTTGTTTCTTTAAGTGTTAGGATCTCACCGAGTTACCCAGGCTGGTCTCAAATACTGGGCTGAAGTGATCCTGCCTCAGCCTCTCAGGAAGCTGGGATTAACAGAGGTGCACCACTATACACAGGAAATGAATATTTTTACAATATAGTGAATGATATATTGTAGTTTTTTATTAAAGTAACATGATCCTGTTGCAGAGGTTTTGGGAAACAGTTATAAGAATAAAACAATGAGGGCTGGGGACATAGCTCAGTTGGTAGAGTATTTGCCTGGCATGCACAAGGCTCTGTGGTTCAACACACACACACACACACACACACACACACACACACACACACACACACACACAATAAAGCAATGAAACCCAGGGTCCAAGGTTGGGCTCAAAGATGTGCTTAGCATGTAAAAGGCCGAGTTCTCAAACCCTTCCCATCCCCGCCCATCGCTGTTAGCAGGTGTAAGATTCCTTTCTTACTGAAGGCCCAAGAGGACCCCCAGCCATGAAATCACTTCCCCTTTTCTCTCAAGTGCCTGGCACAGGCAGGGGCTCCAGACACAGAGACAGAATTCCAGAACCGTGAAATACAGGGGCTCGGCTAGCATCACGTTTTCTTGATTCTTCTGGACTCTTCTGGAAAACTCAGGATTCTTTGATTCACAGTCCCAACATCRCAGACCTGGAGGAGACTGAGATGCAGCCCCTGTCACAGAAGAACGGGTTTGGCAATCCTGCGAGTCCCCAAGCTTCCAAAGCCTTGGAGAAGGAAGCTGAGGCTTCCTTTGGTGGAACATCCCGTTCACTCACTATCAGCAAGTACCTGCTGAAACCGAACACAGTCAGCATCGTGCCCAGCGGATGAGGGGCCATTTTCTTTGGAAAGAAGATGGTGGGGTAGAGAGGGCATGAACTTGGAATTGGGGGCCTCTGGTCTCTGCCCCTTCCTGGAGGCATGCCCCTGACCATGTTACCTGGTCTGAGTATCCAGCTCTTCGTTTGTAAAACAGGCCCAACGTCGGCTATAAAGATGGACTCAGTCATACACATACGGTTGGCCCTCCACGTCTGAGGGGCCCCCATCCAAGGATGTGACCTACCTTTCGGATTGGAAATATTTTTTGGGAAAAAATTTCATCTGTAGTGAAAAATGTGCAGACCTTTTTGCCATTATCCCCTAAACATGACAGTTTAACAACGATTTAGCATGGACAGTGCATTAGGTGTGGCGAGAAACCCAGACGTGATTTTCCTCTAGGGGAGGTTCCTCTGCAGGTAGGTTCTCTGTAAATACGACACCACTTCACACAAGGGCCTTGGGAATCCTGGATTTTACTATCTGTAAGGATCCCTCAGGGACAGCTGTTTGCAAAACTATTGCCACTAGTGAAGATATAGTTCTTCTCACCATCCTCCGTTCCTTCCTCTTTCACCAGGACCCACAATAGCGGTCATTCAGCATGGACAGGGTGCCCTACAGAGTGGGCCTTGCATCTCCCAGTTATTAGTTAATTCTCAAATTACTGGTCTCAGGAGGCAGGTAGCATTGTTCTCGCCCCATTTTGGGGGGGGGTACTGGGGATTGAACTCAGGGGCACTCAACCCCTAAGTCACATTCTCAGCCCTATTCTGTATTTTATTTAGAGACAGAGTCTCCCTGAGTTGCTTAGGGCCTCGCTTTTGCAGAGGCTGGCTTTGAACTCTTGATCCTCCTGCCTCAGCCTCCTGAGCCGCTGGGATGACAGGAGTGTGCCATCGAGCCCGGCTCTCACCACATTTTGATATTCCATGTCAAGAACCAGAGGGAGCTCCTCACTCCAATGCAACACTTTAGGGAGAATCTTTTTGGTTTTTTTGGGTGGTGCTGGGGATGGACACCGGGCCTTGCACATGCTACATACCCACTCTACCACTGAGCTATGTCCCAGCTCGGAGAACTAGACTCTTAGTGTCAGATGCCAGCACATCCTTTCCCAGATTGAGAGGCTGCTAATGCGTGTGTTGATCTTTTATTTGCTGGAACAGTTTACAAAAAAAAAAAAAAAAAAAAGGAATTTGAAGCTGGAACTGGACCCTTGACAAGTACACTTCAGGATGCACGAGCGGTTTCCCTTTAAAGGCAAAGCATGGTGAATAGGATTTGGGAGCAGGAGACCCGCTGTGTGTGGCCCCAACAGCCTCTGGAGCATGCAGTGGGTCTGACTTCTTCGGGGCTTCAGGCTTCAGCTCTAACCCCTCTGCTCTGTTGCTGGGACCTAATGCCGGGACAGGATGCATCTTCTGTTTGCTTATTTCTACTCTGGGGCCGGGAGACTCCGCTCTAGGGAAGGTTCCAGATGGGAGTCAGTAGTATCTGTCTGGTTTATCACTCTCTGGATGTAACCAAAGGCTAATTCCTTGTGCTCTGCAGGCCGGTTTCTTTTTCCATAAACCGAGGAAGAGGCTGTGTGGAGGATTCAGAGGGATTCCTCAAGTCAGGCACATGGAAGATGCATAAGTGCAGCTGATTCTGCATTTGGGGATTCAAAAGCCATTAGAAAATATCAGGGAAAAAAAAAAAAAACCCTGCATCACTGTGAGCAGAAGTCCTCTGTGAGGCCGCCCACGCCTGTCATCCCCGAGCTCGGGAGGCTGAGGCAGGAGGGTCGCAAGTTCAAAGCCAGCCTCAGCAAAAGTGAGGCACTAAGCAACTGAGACAAAACAGGGCTGGGGGTGGGGCTCAGTGCCCCTCAGTTTAATCCCTGGTAACCTCCCCCCAAAAAAACACTTGAATCTGCATGACGATACAGACTTCTTGTCACCATTCCCTAAGCAATAAACAATTATACACATGGCATTTACATTGTATTCAATRTCATAAGCAATTTGGAGATGATTTAAAGTGGGGGGGGGTGTACAAAGACTATTTGCTAATACTAGCCATCTTACTTAGGGAATTGACATCTGTGAACTGTGCTCTCCATGGGGAGAAGGTTCTGGAACAATCCCCTAAGGATACCAAGGACCGTGTGCTTTTGGTTCTTGGCTTTAGGGTGCAAGGACGAGTGGCGTTTCCGGACAGGGATCACTCTGCGCACCCTGGGTGGACGCCTCTTTGGAACGGGGCTTCCTGACAACGTGGGAGCCCTCTCTGCCTTCTGGAAGGTTTTCCAAGGGACTTCCCCAGACTTAAGCAGGCACGTGAACTCTCCCCTGCAAGCCTCCCATCACAGAGGCATGATCTGGGACCACACCCAACCTGGATGTCTACTCTGAGATGAAAGCCGGGTGACACCAGCCAGTTATGGAACATTCTGAGAACCCCCAATAAGCAAGGATCGAGGAGGCTTGGGAACACCCATGTTCTCTGTTAGGCGTCATGGTGTGTCTCCTGAGAACCCTGTGGAACGTGATCGGAACTGGTGAAGTGTGAGCCTGCTCAATTGCATCAGTCTTGTTTTGGTAGTTTCTAAACTCGGCCATCGGGATTCCCAGGGAATCGACATACAGATTGCTGGGCCCTGTCCCCAGAATCGGATTCACATTTAGGACCCAAAGAGAAATGGTTGGTACCTGCAGGTTGCCAGGAGGCGTTCCTAAGCCAGGGCTCTCCCTCCCGCCCTGCCTCGGCAGCGCTGGGGACTGAACCAGGGCCTGGGGGGCTGAGCAGGAGCTCAGCTACACCTCCAGTCCTGGGAGTGTCCTCCAAACACCTTATAGACAGGACTGCATTCTAGCGTGACAACACTAACCTCTGCTTTGAATTTCATACTTGATAAGCAGTTTCCAGCCATGATTTGGCCTCACATGTATACTTTCTGGGGGTGTTTATTTGCTTGTTTGTGCAGCTTTAGCAACAGTTTGGATTTTAAAGGTTCCCCAAAGGCCATGCCTTGAGGGCTTAGTCCTCAGCTGACGGTGCCGYGAGGTGGTGATGGAGCCTTCAGGAGCTGGGGCCTGGCAGGAGGAAGTCAGGCCTCTGGGCGCCTGCCCTCCAGGGGATCCCGGGGCCCTTCCTGAACCTTCTGTCTCCCCATCCCCCCGGGGGGAGCAGCTTTCTCTCTTTGGGCTGAGCAAACAGACGGATCCACCACGGACTGAGGCCTCCGAGCCCAAGCCCTGGGCTCCATCTTCAGCAGCGTGGACGGGGTGGTGAGGGGACAACCGACCTTCCCCTCCTGTTTATCTCGGGTACTTTGTCACAGTGACAGAAAGGTGGCACACCCAGGGAGAGAGAGCGCCACCAGAACTGCCTGGTGTGACGTGGGCACGAGCGGGCCTCTGCCGTGCGCAGTGACCATCTCCTGCCATGGCAGTGAGCAGTCACGGCCCCACAGCCTCTGGTCCCTGCCATGTGGGGGGACCACTCCTACCTGGTGATCCTCTGGGGCGCACCTCTGGCTCTGATTTCTACTGTAATGGAGAGACCACCCCAAATCCCAGTCCTATTCTGATGAGGAGCATTTTTTCTGGTGTACAAATGGCCACCCGGCAGAGGGCCTGTTCCTTCCTGACAGAACCAGGGAACGGGGCGCGTCCTGGAAAGACCTGACACTTCTCTTTGGTTCTCCCTGGTCTAACTTGTCCAGGGTTTTGGGCATAGAGTACACAGTAGGTGTACATAGAGTACACAGTAGGTGCTCAATAAAGACTGTACAGGATGAGGAGGATGATGATGATGAAGAATCAGACTGTCTTGGCAAAGGCTGACGAGGTAGTTTCCTGTTGAACAAATGCATAGTCATCAGGCATTTATAAAGAAAAAGTTTATTTTCATCACAAGAAGCACACAGACTATATATAATACACACCAACRGAAGTAAAAAAAAGTGCATTATGCATATTCTACTGCAGATTCACAGTACAAAAGATACTGCCTTTAAATATATAATATAAAAAAACAAGAAGAAAAACAATTAAAAAATCATTGATATAACACAACACACAGGAACCCACCAGCAGCTTCTGAAAAACCAAGGACTAACTCTTCCGGTGGTGTCCCTGTGGGGGGACCTGGACCTACATTTTGTTGCAAAGAGTTTAGGACACTAAGAGAGGAAAGCCAGGGTGGCCAGGCGGCAGTCACACCTCTATGAGACAAGGGCACCGCTGTGATGGGGATGGCCGAGGGCTGGGGTCAGGAGCTTGGTGTGCCACTCCCCAGCTGGCCACAAACCAAACTGCGTTCTTTCGTGGGCTTCCGAGGGACGCAGCCGTGGCGGAGGCTGGCCCGGCCCCCAGAACCACAGTGCTGTTTCTAGCAAGGATCCCTGGAGGAGCTGTGGACACACCACGTCCAACTGCACAGCGGAGTCAACACGAGAATGGCCTAGGACAGCTCGTGTCCCACACCGACCACCACTGACGAGATAAATACCCAGTCACCAAAGATGAAAGCGCAACAGTCTCCATAAATACACAGTATTTGTAAACTAGGATTAAGGCACTCAATTGTAGAACAATGACCACGGCGTAGGGAGGGGAGGGAGCAGCCATCTTCTCTTGCAGCAGGACCCTGGCCAGGGCAGCGGCCCACGGGGAGTCTGTTAGACGCCTGTGTCTGAGGGCGGGGCTGTGGCACCTATTGCAAGACCAGCACATGGCAGGGACATGTGCATGGGCCCAGGGCAGCACTGGGCAGCATCACGTCACAATGGTCCAGATGATTCCTCTGTAGCTCGGGTGACATGGCAGAGGTGTGGATGAGATATGACGCACAAGGTTGGATTCAGCTGTATGTGCTCAGGTACGTATGGATGCACTCGCCACACACCATGCATGTCCAGACACCGCAGAGGGGACCCCTTCCCCAGGCACTCGGTGCAGAGCGGACAAGAGCAGAGCCAGTGGCTAGGTGTGGAGTGAAGCAGCCACCTACACGAGGCCTGTGTCCTCGGCAGCTAACCAGGGAGTAGGACCAGACAGGCGAGGCTGCCCCGAGCTGCCCAGGCGTCCTTCCTGATCTACTTAGCACTTCTGCCAGAGGGGAAGAGGTGGCCCTCGGAGTTTTGTGTGTTTGAGGGGAGCCCCGTTAGTGGCCATTCAACCAGCAGGGTTGGGTGAGCTGAATTCTGGGACCAAGAACTCCTGGACAACAGAAAGCAATACCTGGGGCTGGGGTTCAGTTGGCAGAGTGTTCGCCTCCCATGCACCAGGCCGTGGGTTCAATCCCCAGCACCACCAAAAGCAATGCTTTTCTTTTAGGGTACCTCGGGGAAGTTGTTTGGGATGATCTTAACTAAGTCACGTAGCATTTGTGCTCACCAGGGAGGAAGGGGCCCCGGGGATCGGGTATTCATCAACCTTCCAGGATGGGCCTGGGGACAGAGTGCAGGGCAGGGCTGCTCTGCAGGTCTGTCCAACCTCAGCTCTCTCCTGAGGCATCCTCTGGGCTTGCAGGGTGGGGGAGGACTTCAGAACTCACTGGAATGTTCTTGAGCTGGAGAAACCAGGTGTAGGGGGAGGGGCTTGCACAGGGCAGCCACCTGTGTGCTTCTGGGGAGTGTCACCTGCATGAAGGGACAAGGTGGGGGCAGGGGAAAGGGCCTGCCAGCAGCAGTGAGCTGTCCACAGTCCAGAGTTTGGCAGGTCCCCAGCTGAGAACAAGGAGGCAAGGAACGCAGAGAGAACCCTTTCTCATGGGAAGTTCAAGCAGCCAGGGCTTGTTGTAGAAGACCCTGCCGTGGCTGGAAGATACAGAAATGGACCTTGGCTGGGACAGATCCCAGTTGGAGGAGGGAAGAACTGGAGCTTCCTCCAGTGACCAGCACTACCTCTGTGCCTCGTGAAACCTGATGATCCAGGCAAACCTGCACCAGCGCAGGACAGGCTGCAGCAGGGTCACCCCAACTCTGGGTGCCGCATGAAGGCCATGTGGCGTGGGATGCGGCCCCATGGGGACATTTCCCTTAGTTCAACACAGGCATTCAAGGAAAATGACCATCACCAAAATCACTTGCCCAGCACCAATCTCTGCATCCCTCTCTGCTCCTCTCCTGTCCCTTATGCTGGGAATCTCCCAAAGACTATGGCCACTGAGCACACTTTCTTTGCTGAGAGCAGTGTAAATGTCATTGTCAAGGTGCCTCTGATCTGGCAGAATGCTTTTGTCTTGTTAATGTAACACGGGGGTGTAGCTCAGTTGGTAGAGTGCTTGCCTCACATGCACAAGGCTGTGGGCTCAATCCCCAGCACCACAAAACAACCAACAACAACGACAATTTAAAAAAAAACAAAACAAAAACAGTGGTCTCTGCCTCTAAGAAAACTCTTCATCCTTCTTTCCAGGATGGATGTAAACCAAGAAATCAAGAATGCTCCCCCCCCCCCACCACACTGATGACCTAATATGCTGGTTGTGGTTCCACAACAAATGGGCAAGTTTAGAAGCCAAAGACCCCCTTGTATTTGTAATCTTCCCCACCCCCCGACTCTTTAGCTGGTCGAAAGAAAAATTATGGCTTTCAAAATTTAAGTTTTCAAAAACATATCACTGTCCTCTACGGAGGTGATAAAAAACCAACAAAAGCCTATCATCGCCAAATTTAAAGAATCATGTTGACACAAAACTTGATCTACTGCGTGTGTGGCAAAACATACTGAACTTGGTATTTTTTTCTTTTATGCTTTTGTTGGCTGAGGATGCGGGGAAACCCCACACGGTTTCAAATGTAAGTGGATAATCACCTTTTTAAGTGACTTTAACTGACAGTAGTGGGCCGGGCGGGGGTGGGGGGAACCCTACAAAGTAAAACAGCAGACTGCAAAAAACATCATGCAGCGGGAAGAGAGTCCCTGGAGAGGGTGTCTGCAGAACCCTGTGCCCCAGGGGAGTTAGACCCGCCTGGACCCTGAACCCGCCAGGTCTCCTCCAGCACAGCGGCTCTGGGGCCCAGTTCCCACCAACAGGAGATGGCAACTCACGCATCTGCATTGGGGGCTGCCTGTCCTGAAGGCTTTGGGTCTCACTGAGCTAATCCAGATGATCCTGTCGAGGGCAAGATGGAACCGCGGGGAGCGTCCGTGATCCCCCCCCCACACTCTCCTCCATCCTCCATGGGGGACCCTGGTGGGGGTGGGCGGTGAGGCCTGGGGTACAGATGGGGGAGGGTTTGGCTTGAGGTGTCCAAGAGCCAGAGGAGGACTTCCAATTTGTCCCACTTTTTCCTATAGGGTCATGGGCTGCCGGGTGTCATATAAAACCAGGGTGGGCGGGTGACTTCCACGAAGGGTCTGGGGGTACCACCCAGGGCTTCGTGGGCCACAGGTGCCTGCTGCCATGAGTTTCTTGTCTCACAACCCCTAGAGAATGTAAAAGCCCTTCTCAGCCGAGGGGGGTGCACACCAGCCCCTGCCTCGCTCCCCAGCTGCTTCTCTCTCTTCAGGCTGTCCCTGCATCTTCCTCACTTGGGGACCCAGCCCAGACCGGTCACACGCCCTGCTGAGCTCACCTGATTCCTCGAGGCGAGGCGTTGCCCAGAGCGGAGCCCAAGGAGACTTGGGCTGTCACTGCCTCTGCCGGAGAACTGGAAAGACAGGAAGCAGTTCTCCCCACAGGAAGTGGCGACTGGAGACACCGACGCTCTTCCCTGTCCTTCCCCGGTCGCATCCTTTCAGAGAAGCTGCAGTGAGTAGCTCCTGGAGCAGGACCCAGGAGAGGTCTCTGCCCCCAAAATCCCTTCCCTTTCCAAACATTGGAAAATGGGACCCAACAACCCTGAGGGGTGGGCTCCTGGGAGGATCCACCTCCTAGAACCGCAGCCCCAGCCCTTCCCCAACCCGACCACGCCCAGTTCAGCAGCAGGAACAGAGAAGCAGCAGTCTGGGGTCCTCGTCCCTGAAATAGGGGCGCTGAGGGAACTGCACGTTTCCCCCAACTGACCCCAGTGCCGACCCAATGCCCGTCAGCTGCACCAGAGCCAGGGCGGGTGGCGCTCTTGGGGTACCCACCAAAGGAAGCCAATCTCCCTGGAAACCCCTTTCTGACAGCAGCATTCCCTGGGATGAGCCCTGGGAATCATCGTATTTAAAAAACAAAAAGCACAGCGAGAACAGAGGTAGGACTAGGCTGCCATCGCGAGTGTCTTTGAGGGTGGGATGAGCTGGGAACGTGGGCCACAGGGACGGTGGCGTCACCATGACTCCTCTTTTGCATGTTGCAATAAAACATTTTGGATGTGTGCATATCTGAACGTGCTCTTCTGGATTCGGTACTCTTCTCAGAGCCGGGACTTGGGGACAGAGTTCCGTGTCTCTGACAAATCCCTGCACCCGGCACCTCCCCTTCCTTCCTGTGCTGCCGTGTCTCCTCCTCTCCATGGCAAGAGCGGGAGGCTCGGGTGACTTGGGTTCTTTAAGACAGATCAAGATGTAAGAGGCGGGTCAAAACCCACGAGGGACAAGGGAGGGATCGCATGAGAGTCTGTCGTGGGTCAGCTTTTGCTCACCCAGGAGGGGCTGTTCAAGTTTCCTGGGGCGCATTTCCCTGATGGCTTGGAGGCCGGGTTCGGGTTCCTGGGGACGGCCTGGGGGTCGAGCAGGCAGGAGGGTTCGCTCCACTTGGCGTCTTGGGAGTCGGCGAGGGTGGAGGCGTCCGCCTCGCTGGACAGGTCCTCTGTGGAGAAGTTGAGGCTCCCGAGCTTGGCAAGAGAGTGGGAGCGCTTGAGGGGGGACGACACGGTGAGGCCGGCCAGCCGCAGCCGCGTCTCGATCTCCTGCGTCCGCTGCTTCACCAGCCCTGGCTTCCCGCGGACGCTGTGGATGCTGTCACTGCTGGAGCTGCGGGTCATGTTGGAGCTGAGGGACGAGGAGGTGGGGGTGTGGCAGATGGTCCTCAGGAAGTCTCTGGAGAAGGTGCTGGAGTGGTCCAGGCGGCAGGGGAGGGGCAGGGGGCTCTTCAGCGAGGCTCCTTCCACGGGTTGGGGGGCAGCTTCTGGCTTCTCGTCACCCCCCGAGTGTCCGGGCAGAGCTGGGGGCCCAGGGTCCTGCGGGGCGGCGGGCTCCTGGCTCTCCTCGGGTATGCTGGCCTCCAGCCGGCCGGGGACGCTGTCTGCGGGCAGGCTCTTCAGCCTCTCCAGCTCCTTGGTGTGCTTGCGGACCAGGCCGGCCTTCTGCAGCTGGATGATGGATTCCTGGTGCTGCATCAAGTAGCTGTTGGCCGTGGGCTTCTCGGATTCGCTACTGAACAGAAGCCTCAGGTCCTTTGCAGGCTTGGGATCTTTCTTGGGTGACAGTTCTTCCTTCACCAGTTCCATGCTGGGAGGGTTCTTATCACAGTGAGAATTCTTCAATAGGAGGGACTTTGTCAGGACTCTGGGGGTCTCTCTAGAAGGTTCTGAAATGCTACCTGTTAGCTCCGGAGCAGCTGCGGCTCCGGAGCTGCTGGCATCAGGTCTTCTGGAACCTGCTGGCAGTAGGAAGGAGGGCGCGTCAGCCACGCCAGAGGCCGGCTTCTCCAGACCTCGGGACCTGCTGGACATGTGGGCTGCAGGGGAGGATGTGAGGTGGGGCAGGAAGGCTGGCTGGGTGCAGATGGCGGGAGCACCTGGGTCCTCACACCACTCCCTGAAGGCCTCGGGAGCTCCGCTGGCTGCAGGGTACATGCAATCGGCACAGGATTTATAGGATGGCTTCACTTTGTTCAGGATCCCAAACATAGCATCGTGCTGCAAGGAGACAAGAACACTGTGAGACGGAGCACCGTGAACCAGGGACCAGATACAGGAGGAGGGCAGGCGATGCGCAAGGGCAGACCCTGGAGGGGCACCCCTCACTGCAGTGAGTGGGAAGCGAGAACTCCTGGAACCGGCCTGACTGTGACGACGCAGGCAGAGAAGCCTCAGAGACACAGAACCAAGACCCAGAGCCGAGGTCCAAGCTCCTGGGCGTGGGTCGCATGGCCACGAGGGTTGAGGAAGGGCCTCCGGAACCTCCCTTCTCACCTGCACAAGGTGCCTCTTGGCCAGGCTGCAGTGTCCCGGGGAAGTAAGGCACCTACCCTGCTCAGTGCCAGCTCACGGCACTAAGAACGAAGTGAAATAGCGAGTCGGCTGCAGAAGCGGAGCCGGGGTCTTCCCCTTGCAGAAATAATTTGCATTTGGGGAGCACGCAGCCCCTGGATGGAGCCCTTCCTGTCCAGCCCAGCTAAAGGAACGGCACTAGTCACGGTCTCCACAAGAGAGGGGGCAAAGGGCAAAGACAGCATTTGGAGACCCCAACCCAGACCTAGACACAGGTGCCTCCAGGCCYGGCCAGACCCCGGCCAGACCCACAGAAGATGCCGTTCACGCTGTTTCCCAGGGAAACCCTCTGCTATGCGGAGTCTTCTGCCAGGTGGGGCCACCCTTCACCCGCTCAAGTGCCAAAGGACTGACTGGTCAGGAGTTGCTCTTCTGGGCTGAGGTGGAGGCAGGGAGATGGAGGGCAGGCACTCCATCTGGAGGGGACCAGCACTCTGCCCCGCAAGGGTTCTGGAATGGTCTGAAATGAAGCCCTCTAGGCCGAYGGCTGGAGGAGGTGCTCGCGGGAGGAGGGCTTCTCCCTGAAGCTCCAGAGCTGCGCAGACTCGGTTTCCCAAGGCAGGAAGTCCTGGTGGCCCAGCACTGGAGGAGGCCCGGCTCCGCCCTGCCCTGGGGRCTGCAGGAGATGTGCGGTGGGCAAGGGAGCGGGCCCTCCTAGAGGATGTCTCTCTGCCAGGAACCCTGGGTGGGCTTCTGGGTCCACCAGTCGACCCTCAGCCTGACAATCTCAGGGACCCTCACCATAACGAGGCCTAATTCTTGAACCAGAATTTTCTCTCAAGCTCTAACCAAAGTGCTCCCGTGTTCTTTCTTCTCACATCTGCAAGGAAATCTCCTGTGGAGGGCTGGGAGCAGGTGTGAGGGCACCTTTCAGAGTCAATGGGGCACAGGGTGGGCTCAGCAGGTACGCAGGGGCCAGGATTGCCACATGAAGTCCCTCCCCTGGCTCCCTGCACAGCTGCTCCCCTCCGTCAGGCCACAGCCCGTCTGTTGGCATGCTGACTGCCTGCGGCACACCTGGCCACATCCCTATGTGTTCACCCTCCATTCGCCCCACTGAGCTGCAGGTGTGCGGGGGCCATCTGAGTGCGCCCTACCCCAGGCTGGCCAGGCACCGTGGTAAGTGGGGGTCAGGCACGGGAATGGATGCTTGTCTCGGGGTTCTGGAGGTCCTGTTTCCTAGGTGATGTCACATTCACAATCTACCCTCCCACTAAGCCCCTCCCCTTCTTGGGCCAGTGACTTAGCACCATGTGAGCCGAGTGGTGGCACAGTGTCCTGCAGAGTGGTCCCATGCTGCCTGTCTTGATGGGTGTTTCCTCTCTGAGGGGAGTCGTGAGTGTGGGGGGACCTGGAATCCTACCTGGTTGGGGGTACGATTTTTGATTTGGAGTTTGCCAACTGCACCCCTCCAATAAGCCAGACTCCACTCTTGGGCTGCTGCCCGCTGAGGGCGCAGGGAGACAGAGCAGAATCAGGGGTGACCTGAGTGAGAGCCAGGCTGAGGTCAGCCGTGTTCCACACGATCCACCAAGTACCACAGCCGCAGAGACAGTGGCGCTGGTGTCACGCACTGGGACGAGAACTGAAGATCAGACGCCTGAAGATGCCAGGCACATTTAAAGGGGGTGACAGTGTTGTGGCTCTGCTACACACGAGAGCACTTAGCAATGATGACACCTCAGGAACTTGTTTCAAAACAGTCCCGAGGGAGGAGGTGTGGGAGGGTGAGGCGACAGGAGAAGAGCTCTGCCTCGGCTCAGTGAAGTGGGCGACAGGTTGTTTTACATTTTACATAAGGAAAAAGAACCTGAGTTGGCGGCCCTGCTCCAGGTGCCAGTAAGGTGCCTGGGGCAAAGACGGCTGCAGGGCGCAGGTTGTTCCCCAAGGACCCCGAGTCACAGCCGGTCACGCTGCCTCCCCCCAGAGTCACCGCCCCACCTACCTCCAAGTCCTGGGGGCAGCTCCTCTTGCTGTTGTTGTTGTTGAGGTTGCCGCGCTCCAGGAGGCCCCGCTCAGGCTGGGCCGCGGGCCGCCCCCATCTCCCTGCGCCCGGGCCCTCTTCCCTCTCCATCTCCTCCACCTGGGGCCAGGGGCCACTCCGGGCTTTGGGGCTCCCAAACTCTAGTTTCTTCTTCACATCCTTCTCGCAGAGTCCAGCGCCATCCTGGGGGTGTCTGGAGGGCTTGTGGGCCTCGGCGGGCGAAGCCTCTTCCTCTAAGAGAGCGTCCCTCTCGAGGTCCTCCAGGTGCACCACGCTGCCGGCGTCCTCAGGAGTGGGAGGCAGGAGGGGGTCTGAGAGCCTCCGGAAACAGCAGGGGAGAGCGGGCCCTCCTGGGGCCCGGCCTCCTTGGAGCCCGAGCTGGGCAGCATTGTCCAAGCAGGGCACTGGGACATCGGGAGTGCCGTCCAGGGTCTCCGTCAGGAAGTCGCCAGGCTCTGGAGGGTCTTCGGGAGGCGGCTGGAGGCTGCTGTCCGCCTGCTGGCCCCACAGCTTGTTGTGCCGCTGTTTGCTGCGAAGAGAGAGGGCAGAGCAAGTGAGCGCGGGGGACAGCACCCAGAGGTCCTGGCGGGGGACGGCGGGCAGAGTCCAAGGTCAGCGGGGTGCTGGGCTGGCTCTGTCTTGCTTAGGTCATGCCTCTCGCTATCACTGTCAAGATGTGCGAGGACCCTGAGTCACCACAGCTGCACTGGAAGCTGCACACACAGGTGCCTGTACCAGGGGATGGCGGACATGCCAAGGCGGCCTGACTGGTAACCGACCTGGTGTTTGGTCCCTGCTCACCGTATGAGCGTAATCATGCCACTTAGATTTCTCTGTGGCAGGAGAACACTCCTCCTCCCACCCACACTGCAAGGACATCAAGGAGGTCAGGGCAGAAAGTACTGGAGCTTGACTGACCGACAGAGCTACGTCCACAGGAAACACATGAAAATGATTGGAAAGGTCCCAGGAAATCATGGATATCTGTGCAGGTCAGAGATCACAGGATGATTTCTAACGCTTTAAGAGAACCCTAAACCCTGCCACCTGACCATCTGGAGTGTCCCACTCAGCTGTGTCAGCCATGTCCCTGGCCCTGCAGTCACCACCCCCATCTACTCCGCAGTTCCTGTCACCTTACAAGACTCAAATGCCACACCCAGTAAACACGGCACTGTCCTCCCCAGACCCTGCCACCAGGATCCCAGCTTTTCTCTTCAGATCTGACCACTCTGGGCCACTTACAAATGGGGTTCTGCAGAATGGGAAGAATGCCTTCCTGTAACTGGCCTGTCTCACTCATGGTGCCCCAAGGTCCACCCAGACTGTAGAAGGTGCCAGCATTTCTTTCCTTCTTTTTCTTCTTTTTTCTTTCTGAGACAGCTCTGTGGCTTTGTGCAGTGGCAGCTTCGTAGCCAAAGAGGTCTCTCTGAGGTGTGATCGTTGCTAAGTGAGTGAGGCCTTGCTACAGTATCCAGGCTGCCCCTGAACTCCTGGGCTCCAAGGACCTGCCCGCTCGGCCTCCAGTACTGGGATCACAGAAAGCCCTTTCCTGGTGGCTTCTGCCACCTCACCCAGCTACCCTTGCCTTCCGCTGTAAGACAGAGATGTTCCACGTACTWATACGCTCTCCAGCTGAAGACCCCCGGTCTGCCCCCACCTTTTGGCCACCCTGGATAATGCTGCTGCCCTGAGGGGAGAAATCTCCGAGTCTCGGCTTTCAGTCCTTCTGTGATCTGCTGGACCTATAGGGACTCCCCTTTTCATTTTCTAAGGGACAACCACAGCCTGTGGCAGCGACATTCAGGTGGGATTAGCTCTTAGCTCAGACGAGGGTGCTGAGGCCCAGGGAGATTGACCAGCCTCCCTGATCACCCAGCTGGCCGGTGGTGGAACCTGGCCAGTCACCAGTGCTGTCCTGGGGTGGCCTTGCTGGGAGACTGGCTCACAGGCCTTGGCACAAAGCCGGTGCTCAGGAAACAGGACAGGCACATGCCCACCATGCAGCAGGCCGGACCCTGGATGGGAAGTTAGGTCCCATTCCCTCCAGCAGCAAAACAAGCTTCGTGTGTGCTCCAACAAAACCAAAACAGACCCCTCCTGGAAACTACTCATCAAAGCCCAAACAATGGCGTTTCTCTCAAGCCAGCTCCCCCTGCACAGCCGCTGGCCAAGGGGAGAACTATGGGATGCAGAGCAGGCTGGCCAGCGTGGCCACAGGGCGCTGTGCTCAGTCTGCCCCGCCCCCCCTCTCCAGGGGGCACCCACCTTGCGTCCAGGATGCCTTCGTACTCAGACAGCTGCCTCATGAAGCCTGCGTTGGGCCGTGTGACGCTTCGCTTTTGCTTCACGTAGTTGTAGGCTTTCTCCAGGGGCCAGCCGAACTCCTTCATGGCATAGGCGATGACGGTGGACGCCGAGCGGCTGACCCCCATTTTGCAATGGACCAGGCACTTGGAGTGGTTCCGCCTGCAGGGGAGGGAGTGGTGTGAGCAAAGGACTGGAGTCTTCAGCAACTGCATTCTCTGGGCTTTACCCACTGAATTTTTAAGCCCCGAAGTTGTCTCGTGGCGCAAATCCCGTTGGAATGTCGGGGAGCAGATTCCATACGCCCTCTAAGGGAAATAACTCAGCTGCAAAACCGACTAGCACACAGGAGGAAGTCAGGGTCAACTGGCCCTGGCCTGCTGCGGGACAGCTCCAAAAGCAGCTGCTTTCAGACATGAAGTGGACCCTGCAGTCACTGGCACAGGCTGGCCACAGAAAGCCCTTTCCTGGGAAGGACCGGGCAGCTAAGCAGACGGCCACACAAGCCACTCAGCTGCTCCCGCAAACAGACAGTGAATGAGCTGCTGTAGAAAACGGGGTCAGCCAAGCGGAACTGCACGGGGAGAGTGAGATGCTCGCCGGACACAGGCCCAGGGGCAAGAAGAGCAGGGCTCGGCCGCTCGGCCAAGACAGAGATGGGCCGACCTGCCGCGGGCCAGGAGGCAGCTCAGGCCCAGGTGCGGCTGAGTGACAGCTACAGAAGGGCCAGGAACTGGGACGCTCTACGCATCACCTTGGAGAACACCTGGGGACACCAGCTGTAGGGGCCGAACTCATCAGTCCAGAAGACGACCCCGTGGGAGCAGGTGCTGTTTCCTGCACCCCAGGCTTAAAGAGAGCGAGGACTTGGTAAGGACGGAGGTGCAGCTCTGGCTGGAGGGGCATGAGGGAAGGGGAGCTTCCTTGAGAGCATCTCCAAGGGTGAGCCCTCTCAGTAAGACAGCTGTTCTGCAGGGGAATAAGGTGGGGACAGAAGGAGGGTGGGAACATGGTGGGAACCCTGTCTAGGGGCAGCGGGCCGGCCCCCCTGTCGCCTGTGCTAGGCACACAGGAACACCTGACTTGGGGAGTCGCATAGAGCCCTGAGGGCACCCTCCCCGGCTCTCCCCGCCCAGGGGAAGCTTCCACATGCACTTGGTGCTGAGTCCTTGCCTAGAACAGCACAGATGACAACAGGGTCATGCCACCAGGACAGAAGGAGCTTCCCAGGGAGCCACCCGGAGACCAGCACCCGCTGTCCCCTCTGGTGCCTGGGGTTCTGCAGCCAACACCAAAAGTCCCCTGGACAAGAAGGCGTCCTCAGCCAGCAGCCTCGCCCTCTGGTGCCTGGGGTTCTGCAGCCAACACCAAAAGTCCCCTGGACAAGAAGGCGTCCTCAGCCAGCAGCCTCGC